CAGACCTTGTTACTAGGGGCACAGAATTGTTACTGGGACACAGAATTGTTTTCTAGGGGGCACCCAAAATTTTTACCGGGACCCCAGAATTGTTAAATAGGGACACAGAATTTTTTACCCCCTGGGCACAGAAATTTTTTACTGGGGAAGGGCACAGAATTGTTACTAGGACACAAAAAAATTTTACTAGGGACACAGAATTTTTCCTTTAGGGAAAACAGGAAAATTTTTTACTCAGGGACAGACACAGGAATTGTTCCCCCCCAGGAACCCCCCCCAAAAATTTTTTAAAATCGGACCCAGGAAATTTTAGTTAAAAAATTTTTAGGGACACAGAAATTTTTACTCATTACACAGAATTGTACCCGGGACACAGAATGTTACTCAAAGGGACACAGAAAATTTTTACCGGACACAAAAAAAATTTTTTAAATAGGGAAAAACCCAGAATTTTTACTGAGGGGCACAGAATTTTTTTACTTGGGGCAAAAAGAATTGTTTTCTCAGGACACAGAAAATTGTTACTCCCGGGGACCACAGAAATTTTTTAAATAGGAAAACAGAAAATTTTTACTAGGGGCCAGAATTTTTTACCCGGGACACAGAATTGTTTCTCAAGGGGGCAGACACAAAAATTGGTTACTAGGGACACAGAATTGTTACTGAGGGACACCCGAATTGTTACTCAGGGCCCGACACAGAATTGTTACCGGGAAAAAGGGCCCCGAATTTTTATGAGGGACAAAAGAATTGTTACTCAAAGGGGCCCAGAAATTTTTACTCAGGGGACCAGAATTTTCTCAGGACCCCAGAATTGTTACTCAGGGGACACAGAATTTTTTCTCAGGGACACAGAATTGTTACTCCCCGGGAAAACACCCGAATTGTTACTGAGGGGCACAGAATTGGGTTTCTGAAGGGGCACAGAATTGTTTACTCAGGGACACAGAATTGGGAAATAGGGACACAAAAATTTTTACTGAGGGACAAAAGAATGTTACTAGGGCCAAAACAGAATTGTTAAATCAGGGGCACAGAAAAGTTATCAGGGACACAGAAAACGTTGAATTTAAAAAGTATGTCAGAACCCAAAACGCAAAGGGGTGGCAGAGGAGGGGAAAGTTTTTAGGAGCGAGGCCCGGGCGTGGCAGGGAGAGGAAGGGGGGAGGCAGCACTAGTCGCAGCCAAGGAGGCCCTTGGGGGTCCCGGGGGGGGGGGGGGGTCCCCCTCCAGCCCCCCGGGGTTTTTGTGGGCTCCACCGACAACCCTGGGCCGGGCATCGAAAGGGGTTTCCGGGCGTCTTCCTCTTCCCATGTCACCCTTTTGAAAACCTACACCCCAAAGGTCCGGGGGGTTTCCTTTAGACACAACCGTTAAATTGGCATGGCCCCTGGGGCAAGCCCCAAATGAAAACAAAGTGGGCCTCTACCCGCCCCTGTCCTTTGGTGTTCCCTTTACCAACGAAGTATCGCAGCTGTGGGCTTTAGCCCCCCTGTACAGTTTCCGAGCACAACGTCAGCAAGAAGAGGTCGAGCACACTATCTCACCCTTCCATGCTCCGTTCATCCACGTCCGTTCCCACCGACAACCCTGCCGTCACATTATGCTCCGTCGTCTTCCTCTTCCCAGATCACTCCTGACACCTACAGCCAACGTCGGTTGGTTACGTCAACACAACCGTCTATGTCAGCGCCACAAGCCCACTGAAATCACGTCCTCTACCTCCCTTCCTTTGTGATCCCTCACACGAAAGTATCGCATGCTGTGCGCTCAAACCCCCACTGTACATGAGTAGCTAACAAGGCGTCAAACGGGAGACATCTGTCCTTCAGCACCACGATTATATAGAGAGACCTTACCGCCTACCTCATGTCTCCTACCCCAGGGGTTCCGCAGAACCGTTGTGTATATGAGCAACCCTAATTGATAATGATGAGCTATCCACTTGGCAGCCTCGTTCTCCATCAGCTATCGTCCGCATCATGCAAAATATAGTCAACTTGCAGGTCTCCTCGACATCTGGTTGCCCAGACTAAGCAGCATGTCCAGCATTTCCATAGGGAGGCAATCCAACGAGTAACACCAGCCTGCCCACTGCTCCATGCCACGGCCATAATCGGTTGCTCGTAGAAGTTAGCATCACCATGAGATAAGCAGCAAAGTTTTCCTGCCTCCGTTGCAATTTTTCTTACCCGCCCAGAAGTACAGAGTACCGTATTCGACTATTGCCAGAAAGCAGCGTGCTCATTGCCCATGTCTCCATCTCCACCCTCTGCCATGTGCCACTTTCAGGTCTTCCTCAATAGCTGCTGTGTTCCATTTTTTTGTCATAGGGTGCTGGCAGATTACGGCCTCCCCATTGCTGCTCGCCCATGCCCGTAATCTTCCATGGGCCCCCGTACCCGACTCCCTCAATGCAGCATGCCCAGGCCCGTAATCTGTTGGTCCCCTGTACCCCCGCCTCCTCATGTCAGCTGCTGCCAGGTCCGAGTAGTGTCATGGGGTCCCTGTACGGCCTCCCATTAGCTGCTGTCTCCATCGCCACACTCTGCCATGTGCCACTTCAGGTCTCCTCACACTGCTGGTGGGTTCCATTTTGTCATAGTGTGCTGGCAGATTACGGGCCTCCCATTGCTGCTGCCAGGCCCGTTAATCTGCCATGGGCCCCTGTACCGCCTCCTCATGCTGCTGCCAGGTCCAGAGTGTGTCATGGGTCCCTGTACGCCTCCCATTGCTGCTGTCCTCCATCGCCACACTCTGCCATGTGCCACTTTCAGGTCTCCTCACTACTGCTGGTGGGTTCCATTTTGTCATAGGGTGCTGGCAGATTACGGGCCTCCCATTGCTGCTGCCAGGCCCCGTAATCTGCCATGGGCCCCTGTACCGCCTCCTCATGCTGCTGCCAGGTCCAGAGTGTCTCATGGGTCCCTGTACGGCCTCCCATTGCTGCTGTCTCCATCGCCACAACTCTGCCATGTGCCACTTTCAGGTCTCCTCACACTGCTGGTGGTTCCATTTTGTCATAGGGTGCTGGCAGATTACGGGCCTCCCATTGCTGCTGCCAGACCCGTAATCTGCCATGGGGCCCCTGTACCGCCTCCTCATGCTGCTGCCAGGTCCAGAGTGTCTCATGGGTCCCCTGTACGCCCTCCCATTGCTGCTGTCCCCCCCTCCATCGCCACACTCTGCCATGTGCCACTTTCAGGTCTCCTCACACTGCTGGTGGGTTCCATTTTGTCATAGGGTGCTGGCAGATTACGGGCCTCCCATTGCTGCTAGCCAGGCCCGTAATCTGCCATGGGCCCCTGTAACCGCCTCCTCTCCTCATGCTGCTGCCAGTCCAGAGTGATCGTCATGGGTCCCTGTACGGCCTCCCATTGCTGCTGTCTCCATCGCCACACTCTGCCATGTGCCACTTTCAGGTCTCCTCACACTGCTGGTGGGTTCCTTTTTGTCATAGGGTGCTGGCAGATTACGGGCCTCCCATTGCTGCTGCCAGGCCCTAATCTGCCATGGGCCCCCCGTACCGACTCCTCATGCTGTGACTTGCAACAAGGTGGAATTCAACCCTACATATGTTTAACCGCCTTTACGAACAGCGAAAGGCCATCACCGATTTCCTGATGTTACAAGCGATAAAGGTACTGCCCCTGTGTAACTTAGATGTCAGCCTTGATTTATTGGCAGCTCATAAGCGTGACACCTGCCGCGCTTTGCTCAGTAGCCCTTTGAGGAGGCCACGCTATTCGTGAGTCGGCAGGACTATGGGATGAACGACGTCATTCCTCTGTTGCACGTCCTGGAACAAATGCTGTTAACAATGGCTGGTCAGGGTGGCGGTAACGTGGCGCACAGATCTCAACGCCACATGACCCCTGTGGGGGCAGGACAGGAAGAAGAGGAGGAGGTAGAGGAGGACATTGGTGCTCAGGAATTATTGAGTGAAATGGGTGGTTTTTCCACTCAGCGGGACAGGAGTGGAGGAGCAGGAGCATCTGGTAGAGGAGGAGGAGGAGGAGACAGAGGACCCAGACGCACCGTGGCAGTATGCTGTGGAGATGGAGGCAGGGAGTCCCTCGCATTCCTTGGCACAAATGGCCCATAGCATGCTCGGTTGCTTGCGTAGCGACAGCCGAATAATAACCATCAGACAGAGGGATGACTTTTGGCTGTCCACCTTGTTGGACCCTCGCTACCGTTCAAAAATGGTGGCCTTTTTCACACCTGCTGAGAGGGAGGCCAAAATAACGTACTATAAAAACCACCTATGTAGTCAGTTGGTCTCTGCCTTTCTGCGCCAACGTCCATCCTCAGACACTGTGGGCCCTGTGCGCTCGCGTTCCGCTGCCATGGCAGCAGGGGAGGGGGTGGGGTGGTAGGAGCAGTGGCAGCTCCACCAGCAGCGGCTGCCTCAGTCTGCAGTCGATGATGAGTAGCTTTCTTCACCAGCGCAGTGAGGAAACTACTAACCAGCCGCAGCAGCAGCAGCATCAGGTGGACCTGGAGCAGGACCTCAAACAACAGGCTTGGGCCTACTTGGACAGCACCCTGCCAACCGAGGTAGACAATCCCCTTGACTACTGGGCAACGAAACTTGACCTTTGGCCCCAACTAGCTGAATTTGCCCTTGAAAGGCTGTCATGCCCGGCCAGTAGCGTGGCATCGGAGCGCGTGTTTAGTGCGGCAGGAGGTATTGTAACTCCGCGGAGGACACGACTGTCCACCCAAAGTGTGGAGAGACTCACGTTTGTGAAAATGAATCAGGCGTGGATTAGTCTGGATTTCAAACCACCAGTTCCTGACACAACTGACTAAATCCGCCATGAATCATGCCCCAAACATGTTATTATTTTTAAACATAGGTACTCCTCTCGTATGGCCTTCAATTTAAGCTGCTGTACGCTTCGCCACTCTGCCATGGGCCTCCCCTGTACCGCCTCCTCTTGTGCTGCCAGGTCCAGAGTGTCTCATGGGTCCCTGTACGGCCTCCCATTGCTGCTGTCTCCATCGCCACACTCTGCCATGTGCCACTTTCAGGTCTCCTCACACTGCTGGTGGGTTCCATTTTGTCATAGGGTGCTGGCAGATTACGGGCCTCCCATTGCTGCTGCCAGGCCTGTAATCTGCCATGGGCCCCCGTACCCGCCTCCTCATGAGCTGCTGCCAGGTCCAGAGTGTCTCTCATGGGTCCCTGGTTCTGTCATACGGCCTCCCATTGCTGCTGCTCCATCGCCACACTCTGCCATGTGCCACTTTCAGGTCTCCTCACACTGCTGGTGGGTTCCATTTTGTCATAGGGTGCTGCAGATTACGGGCCTCCCATTGCTGCTGCCAGGCCCGTAATCTGTCATGGGCCCCACCGTACCGCCTCCTCATGCTGCTGCCAGGTCCAGAGTGTCTCATGGGTCCCTGTACGGCCTCCCATTGCTGCGTGCGTCTCCATCGCCACACTCTGCCATGTGCCACTTTCAGGTCTCCTCCACTGCTGGTGGGTTCCATTTTGTCATATGGTGCTGGCAGATTACGGGCCTCCCATTGGCTGCTGCCAGGCCCGTAAATCTGCCATGGGCCCCCGTACGCCGCCTCCTCATGCTGCTGCCAGGTCCGTAATCTGTCATGGTCCCTGTGCCTCCCATTACTGTCTCCAGGTCTCAGCACTCTAGTGGCAGCTGCATGACTGTTGTGGTCTCCCATTGCTCTGGGTGAGCCCATTTTTGTCAATCTGGTGCTGGCAGATTACGGACTCCCATTGCTGCCTGCCAGCCCGTAATCTGGTCCATGGGCCCCTGTACCGCCTCCTCATGCTGCTGCCACCGAGGTCCAGAGTGTGGATCATGGGTCCCTGTACGGCCTCCCATTGCTGCTGTCTCCATTCGCCACACTCTGCCATAGTGCCACTTTCAGGTCTCCTCACACTGCTGGTGTGGTTCCATTTTGTCCATAGGGTGCTGGCAGATTACGGGCCTCCCATTGCTGCTGCCAGCCCTAATCTGCCATGGGCCCCTGTACTACGCGACTCCTCATGCTGCGTTCACAGTGCCAGGTCCACATATGTCTCTCATGGGCCCCTGTACGCCTTTCATCCACACTGCTGCTGATTTGTCTCCATCGCGCTCAGTGTCTGCCATTGGGGGCCACTGTATAGGCCTCACATGATAACTTTGTGGAATAGCCATTTGGTCTCATCGCGCAAACGGGCCTGGTGATGGTTGATTTGCCATCGCTCGTAGGCCTCACCCATTGCGCAATGGGTTCCTACTTTGTACAGGCCTATGATCTCACGGCACTGTATTGGCCATAGGCTAACTATCCTTGCTCTACCAAGGATCGTCCAGCATGCGAGTCAGTCCCACAGATTTCTCAGCGGTCTCCATCGTTAGAGCACTCTTGCCAATGTTTGAATACTTGCAATAATTCATAAATGCTACAGGGTGGCCGTAATTGGTGTCATAGGGTGCGGCAGATTTAGTCGGCCTCCCTCAGCTGCTGACCTGTGTCCAGGAGTGTGAGTCATCATGAGTAGACCCCATATATCTCTCCGTCTGCCAGAAACGGGGAGCCTCCTCGCATATCTGCTGCCAGGGACCAGAGCCCCTAAGAATACTCATGGCCATGCGGCCTAGCCGTTCAGCTTCCTCTTCGCACACACTGCTGTTGGGACTATCAGGTAAACCACTCTCGTAGGTGCATGTCCACTGTTACGGTCCCCTCCCTTGGCCCAGCCTCCTGAATTCTGCCATGGCCCCCTAGTACCGCCTCCTCATGCTGGCTGTCAAGTCCCAAGTGTCTGCATGGGCCCTGTACGGCCTTACCCACGTAGCAGCGCTGTATTGCCTCCCATTAATCTGCCATGGTCCATACTCAGCCACTTGAGGTCCCGGCGCCCTCTCTGCTGCCATGACCCGTATGGCTGCTCCAGTAGGCCAGAGTGTGCTGTCATGGGCCCCCTGTACCGACCTCCCTCATGCTGCTGCCGCTGCTCCAGGAACAATCTGCCAAGGGCCCCTGTACCGCCTTCCTCCAAGCACTGTGCCAGGTGGTTCGAGGATCATGGCCTGTACGTGCCGACCCATTGCTGGCTGTCTCCACCAGCCACACTGCTGTCCATGTGCCTACTTTCAGTCGTCTCCCACATGTTAGAAATCCTCATTGTCACGTGCTGGCAAGTAACTCCTGGCCTCCCAGGTGCTGCTGCCAGCCCCGCTGACCATGGGCCCCAGTACCGACTCCTCATTGCTGCTGCCAGTCACGTAATCTGTCATAGGGCCCCTGTACGCCAGCCAGCGTTGAAGCTGCTGCCCAAGGTCCTTAGATGTGTTTGGGATATGGGTCCACTGAACGTTCTGCCAACCCCAGCCATGCTGCTAGTGAATTAATGATGTCATGTATGGGCGTGCTGCAGATATGCCACTTTCAGCTCTAGACAAGCGGGTTCCCCTTGTCCATGCTGCTGCGTAAGGCCCGTAATTCTGCCATGGGCCCCGTACCTGCCGTCCTCATCGGGCTGCCAGGTCCACTTTGTCTCATGGGTCCCTGTGCGGCCTCTACCATTGCTGCTAAGATACATGCCGCAATCGCCATACCTGCCATGTGCCACTTTCAGGTCTCCTCACACTGCTGTATTTTCCATTTTGTCATAGGGTGGGTGCAGATTACGCCCTCCCATTGCGCTGCTGCCAAGCCCTAATCTGCCATGGGCCCCCCTTACCGCCTCCTCATGCTTGCAGGTCCACAGCTCCGTAACTCATAAGCAGATTTGCCCTGGTACCGTCGCTGTGCTGCGTTCCATTGCCATATTCAGCCATTCCATCTGTTCAGATCTCCTTCTACCTGCTAGTGTTCCGTAGTTGTCTGGCCTTCTGGCAGAGTAGCGGCTTCCCATCTGCTGCTTGTCCTGTCCCTCTGCATGGGACTCTTGATACCGTCGTCTCCAAAACGCTTGCTGCCTGGTCCACAGGGATGGTCTTGTTTAAGACCCGTACGGCTCCCATGTGCTGAACTACCTCCGTCCAATTTTGCCATTGCCCCGTACCGCTCAGCATGCGCTGTCCACCCTAAGATCGGCATGCCCCTGTACCGCTCCTCCTCATGCTGCTGCCAGGCCAGAAGTATGTCCATGTTGTCAATCCCACCGTACCGACTCCTCATGCTGCTGCCAAGCCCTTAATCTGTCTATGGGGCACCTACTTGTTTACCGCACTACATCAATGCTGCTGCAGGATCAGAGTGTGATCATGGGAGACCCTGTACGGCCTCCCATTGCTGCGGTCTCATCTGACCACACTCTGCTCATGTGCCACTGTTCAGGTCTACCTCACCACGGCTGTGTGGGTTCCATTATTTTGGTCATAGGGTGCTGATAGCCTCCCATTTGCTCTGCCAGGCCCCTAATCTGCCAGGGCCCCCGACCCCCCCTCCCCATGCTGCTGCCCGGTCCAGAGTTTTCCCCTGGGGCCCTGTCGGCCCCATTTCTGCGGCTCCATCGCCACAACCCCCGCCATGTGCCCCTTTTGGTCTCCTCACAAAAACTGGGGGGGTTCCATTTTGTCATAGGGGGCTGGGAGATTTCGGGGCCCCCCATTGCTGCTGCCCCGGCCCCTAATCTGCCATGGGCCCCGTACCGACTCCTCATGTGCTGCCCCGGCCCCAAACTGTCTTGGGGCCCCCGTACCCCCCTCCTCATGCGCGCCCCGGGGCCAGAGTGTGTCATGGGTCCCCGTCGGCCCTTCCCTTGCTGCTGTCCCATCGCCACAAATTTCCAGTGCCACTTTTTGGGCCCCACCTGCGGGGGGTTCCATTTTTTTCATAGGTGCGTATGGGCCCCTTGCTGCTGCCTCTACCCCCACACTGTGGCTCCCACACTCTGGTTTTGGGGCCCCTGGGGCCCCCAAAGGTGGAAGTG